AAGAGACTATTAAAGGCAGAACTTCAGGGGCGCCTGGGTGGCTCAGTCGTTAAGCGTCTGCCTTCGGCTCAGGTCATGATCTCAGGGTCCTGGGATCGAGCCCCACATCGGGCTCCCTGCTTCTCCCTCTCTCCTCCTGCCTGTTTCTCCCTCTCCCGCTCCCCCTGCTTGTGTTCCCTATCTTGCCATGTCTCTGTCAAATAAATAAATAAAATCTTTAAAAAAAAAAATTGCAAGCTTTTACCATCTTTATGATAAAGAGAAGAAAAGGTATTTGCTAGAATATGAAAAACGTATATATCTCTAGAGAAGGACACATAAGAACTTAAAACAGTGACAACCTATTTCAGGGCTGGGAGGCCAGATAGCCAAGGGAACAGAGTGAAATGAAAACTTTTCACTGATAATTTTAAGTTTTTGTTTTTGAACTGTATGAATTTTTATGTATTTTAAAAAATTGAATGGGAAAGAATAAATATAGACAAAATAGAGACAAGGAAGATAAGGGGTCTTTCATCCATTCACCAACTTCTAACATTCTGCCACATTTGCTTCGTTGTTTCCTCTCTTTGTAAGCATACACATACATACATTTTTTCCTGAACCATCTGAAAACTGCAGACATCGTGGGGCAGAGGCTTGTTTACTGAAGGAGGAAGGATACAGCCAAAGTGAAGACAGTAGTACCGTCTGATAGGATAAAGGCTAGGAAAAGCAGGGATATCAGTACAATGGAAAATAACTATCAGAATAACTAAGTTAAGCAATCTCAAGTAAAATATTTTTTTTGAATTCTTGCACTATTTTACTTGAGATCGCTTAACTTAGTTATTCTGATAGTTATTTTCCATTGTACTGATAAACCGAAGAGTGACAAACCAAAGTGGCTGAGAGTCTGTGCACGAGAGACTTCCTGACTCTGATGATAAGAAACAGTACAGAGTACTACAGAGGCTTGGTGTCCTGTGCTAGCCCATCCTCCCCTTCCTCCCAAGACGGGTCTGTCTTCTTTACCTTGCTCCTCCAGCTGGGCTTCAGGTTCTGGAGACTCACACTTGAGCTGTGCCATCAGGGGTGGGAAGGACATGCTGGGCTCCTGTTCTGTTCTCAGAGGGGCCATCTCCTGCAAGGGCTGGTCCTGTTCCTCAGTGTGGACTGAGACCTGCGGCAAACGAGACACAGCTCATACACTCAGTCTGTGAACAGAAAATAAGAGCCTACGAATCACAGCAGTGACACCCAGCTCTTTGACACCTCAACTTCCTTCCAGACACCAGCCTGCCATAACCCTCCTCATGGCACCTCCTCTAAGAAACCTTCCTTCCTCCTGCTCTTCACAGCTAAACAATGCTGGTTGTACCACTATCACTTCATTTATGCTTGGAGAAAGGCAGAAGGAAACAAAGGAGCGACAGGGGGAGGAGGAGGGAGGGGAATCTCTTCCATGTAGGCTCCAGAAGCTGTTCCCTACAGACTGCCCTTCCCAGGCCCCCACCCCACTTCCTTCCAGGAGATGACCTTATTTTCTCCTTGTCCAAGGTCATGGTCACATGAGAGACCACCCACCCTTCATTTCATCACTCCCCCCCCCCATACACACTTTTTCCCTTCCACTTAGAGGAAGAGGCCTTTTCTCATTCAAGGTGCGTATCTCCACTCTCGCCTTCAACCCCATCCCTTCCCTCACTGCACCCCTGACCCCTGCTCCTGCAACAAACTCATTTATTTAGCAGTTTAAGCCACTCTGTAGCTTCCATGCCTGCACAGAATCATTCCCCTTGTATTTAAAAATAACAGGTTTCCCCAGCAGGGTGTGAAACGCAGGAATCTGGGACCACTCTCATTCCTTAGTCTGTGTCTTAGTTCAGGAGCTCTGTGAGCAGGGGCTGGTTACTTGGACTACACGGCACTGTGCACACAAAGCACCTCACAGAGGGCAGGGCTACACCAGGCCCTCAAACTGCTCCCCAATCCCCTTCAGTGGCTACATTCTGTAAATAAGAAATCACCGCACACTGCCTCTATTCTCATTTCTAGCACAGATCCCTCCACCGAATCCCAGCTTGTTACACCCAGTTGCCTGCTCAACTTTTCCAGATGGATTCTAATAGGAATCTCAAAATCAACACATCCAAATACCTAGTAACCCTTGATCCCTGTCCTGACTCCAAACCTTCCTCTCTCCCAGCCTTTACCATCTCCATGAATGACGAATCCACAAGTCATGACGTTCAGAACAAAAACCTTAGCCGAATCCTGAGCTCACTTTCTCTCCTATCCCACATCCTACAGAAAAACAAATCCCGTCAAGTGCTACCTCCAGAACAGGCAGGATCCAATCGCATCTCACCACTTCCACAGCTACCGCCCTAGTCCAAGCCGCCAGCACCTGTTGCCTGGATTGGTGCTGAACCTGTCTCCCTGCTTCTATCTTTGACCCCCCGGCCTCCCGCACCCCCACCACCAGCCCCCGTGCACAACTCTTCCAACAGAGCGGCTGGAGTGATTATTTTTAAAATTTAGGTCAGGTCAAACCTCTTCTCTGTTCAAAACTCTCCGGTGACTCAGCACCCCCAGTTTACTGTCTGCCTCCTCTCAGACTAGAATCTATCTATGAGACAGCAACAATGTCTGCGCTTTGTTCACGGCTTCGTTTCCAGTGCCTAGAATGGTGCCTGGTACAAAACTCCATTCAGTAAATGTCTCCTGAACAAATGAACTTTTCCCCAATCCACCTTCCCCGACACCCTTGAACTCTGTTAGGAGCACCTGAATCACGCTAGTCTCTCAAGCTGGAAGTCCCCAGTGCTCAGCCTAGAAGTGACTGCTCTGTACAGAGATTTCCCTTCATCCTTCCTTTTTCATCCACTGATCTGTCATCGTTTCCAATTAATACTTACCTACGACATGCTTCATCCTCTGTAGTCTCACCGTCACAGCTCTCTCAAACTCACATCTTTCTGCCACAGGCTCCTCCCTTCCAGTGTTGGCGCCCCAGTGCTGAGCTGCACTTCTTGTTTTATTATTTCCCTGTTTTATACTCTTCCTAGCAAGACCTCCCAGCCTTGACTCTACTGACAAGTTGGGTCAGATAATCCTTTGTTGTATGCGGCTGTCCTATACACTGTAGGATACTGGGTAACGTCCCTGCCCGTTAGCCACTAGATGCCAGTAGCACCTCCCCCAAACGACAACCAAAAATGTCCCAAGACATTGCCAGATGCCTCTAGGGCACAAAATTGCCACTGGCTGAGAACCACTGTCTTTTATCAGTGTTGAAACAAAACAGAACAAGATCCTACATACTTTGGTTACATCCTGGGGTTAGAGAAGCTCATTTAGACTCAAAGAGAAAACATTAGACGCTTGTGTCCTACAGAATAAAATGTAAATTCCAGAGGTGATATTCAAGGCCCTGGACTCTGTTTTCAACCCCTCTACTCACACCTCACCTGTCCAACCGAACGGCTTTCTCCTACTCCCAGTAACTCCCATCCCTGCCCGGCCCCTCCCTCCTAACCTTCCACTCTGCTCCTACCTCCCACTCCTCCAAGGTGGGGACTTTGATTTCTCCTTCGTTTAATCCTTTAATGGAGGCAGGGCAGGAGATGGGATACACTGTTGTGCAACAGAAGCAATGTCCCTTTCAAGAGACTGCTGACCACCCCGTTACCATGACCTCTCAAACATTTGCTCTTAGAAATCTCTTTCTCATGTTTTTGAGCATTTCATCAAATAGAACTCTGTAGGCCTAGTACAGAAATACATGATCCTTCCGCAGAGAAGCCATAAACAAGTTAGAACTACATTAACCAACCTTCCATGAGGCTAGGGCCTGATGCACCAAAGTGTCAAAAACACACTGTGAAACAAAGTTGTACTTCGCTCTGGCCTAGAAATCCCTAATTCACCTTTTCTCAATCATTAGGCAGATCTCTTTTTCTCACCTGTTCTCCCGGCTCATCCAGCTCCCTCTCCAGATCCTCCAGCACAGTCACCGCCTCCTCCCCGCTCTCCGGGTGCCGCTCCCGCACCCAGGCCTGCAGCTCCTCGGGCAGGATGGTCAGGAACTGCTCCAGCACCAGCAGCTCCACGATCTGCTCCTTGCTGTGCGTCTCGGGCCGCAGCCACTGACGGCAGAGCTCCCGGAGCCGGCTCAGCGCCTCGCGGGGCCCAGATGTCTCCTGATAGCAGAACTGCCTGAAGTACTGTCGGAAGACCTCCCTGCTGTGGGTGCTGTTCTTTTGCAGGTTCTGATCCTGTCTGGTGGTGTCCTTATACTCCTCCCTCTCCTCCTCCTCGATCTTTACTTCCAAAAGCTCATCCTGGTCCTCGTGGGCCGGGAGAGCCCAAGCAGATGCCATCATAGCTGTGCAGAAGCTTTATCGGTGCTGCAAGCAAGATTCCCTGTTAAGTCCTCCCTGGGTGGACCTGAGGGAGAAGCCGTCACTTTTCACACAAGCTACACCGTAGGCAAGATTTGCAAATTCTAATAATTTACTTCTGTGCTTTGCAAGCCACCTCCAGGTTAATTTACGATACTCAGGGAAATACTCCGATTACAAAAGACTTAAGAACAGACTAATCTAGGGCGCCTGGGTGGCTCAGTCGGTTGAGCGACTGCCTTCAGCTCCGGTCATGATCC